AAGTGTTTTGAGTCTATAAAATAAAGGGAAATGTTTTATTAGCACTTTATTTAATCTAATATTTGTTCATCTGTTTAAATTTTCCATTTCCTATTGTCCTGTGACAATTTATATTTTATAATAACTATTAGCATTATGACTTTCACATTTATGCCTTTTATTCAAGTGGAATTCATCTTGTATATGGGTTAAGATAAGGATCTAATTTTGTTCCTCTTTAATGAACCTACTTCCCCCCCATCATCTATTCACCATCCATTCTTTCTCCAATGATTAATAGAACCCCTTTATTACACATAAAGTTTCTACATACACATGGATATAGTTTATCACATGCTGTCCTTTTTCCAATTCACTTTTTACAAAACACTAATTTTTTTTAACAATATACATTTAACATTTCCAACAACCCCGCAGGGCGCTGCCTCTATTTAGAAAATGGCAGATGGAAATGGGGAAAGATTATATTTAGCCCAAAGCTCACATAATACTGAATGACATACCAGGACTTCTGTCTCCAAATTAATTGCTCTTTTCCCAGCTCACCTGCCACCTATTTAAGTAGCAGCTTCTTGTACCTAATTCCAACTATTCATTTAGATACTCATTGAATACTTGCTCGATTCTAAATACTATTCTAGGTTCTAGAACAATGACAGAAAACCAGCAGGACCTCAATAACAACTGGGCCTTTAACACAACAAAGTAGTCAGCTTGTCCCTGGTATAAGTCCCTATTACCTAGGCCCATGCAACCAAACCTATATTCCCCAATGTTCAGCCACCCTCCTTGCCCTTCCTAAAAATCTACATTTAGACCATCCTGCTACAATTGAAATAATTTTCCTTCTTGTTCTTTAGTGAAAGGAGTTGTCGTCCATTCCTGATAACAATATCAAATAAAGAGTACACCTCAGATTCGTTGTTTCGCCAAACCCCAGGCTTGGACAGCTATAATACTTACAAATTAAAAGAACCGAGTTGCCAGACTCTTAAGAATTTTGTAGTGTTTTATTGTTTTACTATTAAAAATTTTTAATCTTGAAATTGGTTAATCTTACAGTAAAAACTAACCATATATTTGTTTTTATACATTATATACATTTGAGAAATAAATAGTATTCTAAGCAGCATTTTTAAAAAAGCATCATTATATACAATTAAGGCTTCAAGCCAAATGCATAAATATACAACACAGTGAGGATTCAGTTCCCAAAACTTCCATCAGTAAAAACAGAAGTCAAAAGTCACCAGGATGCATGGCCAGTCACACAGGCTGAGCATCCCTAATCCAAAATGCTCCAAATCCAAAACTTTCTGAGCACCGACATGATGCCACAGTGGAATGTTCCACATATAAGTGCTTAACACAAACTCTGTTTTATGCACAACATTATTTAAAATATTGTATAAAATTACCTTCAGGCTACGTGTCTAAGGTATACAGCAAACAGAAATGAAATTTTGAATTTAGACTGGGGTTCCACCCCCCCCAAATATCTCATTGTGTATATGCAAAGATTCCAAGAGCTGAACAAAATTCAAAATCTGAAACACTTCTGGATAAGGGATACTCAACCCTACAAGCTTCACTTTGGTTAGAAAGCATGAAAGGAGTAACAGAAGCACACATGGGATGGAGAACATACCTTAACTTTGTCTTCAGAAGTTTGGCTTTAAACAGTGATTCAACTTTGGCACATACAGATTAAACCAATGTCCTTGAAGAACCTAAGTACAAAGAAAATCACCCCTTCTCCCCCACCTGATATCACACCTCCCCCCAAATCTCACCCATAAAAAGCCCAACGCCTTGGCACAGGTATTATCCTGGTTATATATTAATAAAAGGGTTTAGGATTTTATGGGTTGGAAAAAAAAGTTCTTATTTGCCTTCTGCCTGGAGCATATCAGTGGGAAACGGCTATAGACATCTCCATGAGATTTCGGGGATGATTGCACAAGGACTTTGCCTCCAGGAAATCTGGGCCTTTTGGTTTGGCTGCACCACCAACGTGGTATGTAATTCTAGGCCTGTGGTTGAACTTCCCTAAACCTCAATTTTGCAAATTAGGGATAATAACAGCTGCTTACTCACCTCACTCTAATTAGGTGATGCACACGCTAATCTTTTGAAAGTGTGAAAGTGTTGCTCAGATGCCAGGCATATCCATTCCAAGGCTGACCTAAACATGAGATCTAAGGAGCAGAGTGGGAGTGTGGATGTGGGATAAGAACTTGCCTCTGGGGTACAAAGAATGCTATTCTGGTGATGGGTACACCAAAAGCCTTGACTGAAGCCTTACATGAGATATCCACGTAAAAAAAACTACTTGTACCCCCTTATTCAGTATTTTGAAATTTAAAAAAAAAAGACTTAGCACTGGAGGCTTTTTCAAGAAGTTCAACATAGAAAGGGCACTGGTATTACAAAAAGATATTTCAAAAAGAAAAAAGCACTGTATTAAATCTTAGAGCCAGCTCTGGTTGGCAGGTGCTGATTTCTATATAAACCCTATGGATTTCATGTGGAATACCTCTTATCTCCCTAAACATACGAGATTTTGCTCCGAAGCAGTCATATCTGGCAACTGCCCCTCTTGGCCCCAACAGGTCTGATACTCTGCTTGCTCTTTCTGCTAGTGAGCACACATGTCACTCTTAGGGGAAACCGTGTAATTTAACTAAGATGAAATAGGTAGAAACCCTGTACGGCCTTGTGGTCCCTGACTCTCACCCTTGTGCCTTTCTCCAAACGGTCACAGCCATCCAAATGGGAAGGGTTCTAGAAATGGAGAGGTTGAGTAACAAATCAACTGCCACATGCTAATTAATCTTAAATGCCAATAAATAATCAAATAATGAACAATGGAAAAACAAGAAAGCCAGTGATGTGTGCTTCAGAGAATGATTTGAGGAACAAGATGGAACATCAATGCAGCCCCACAAGAACCCCAACAGTGACAGCCTCGCACCAGCCCAGGGCTACTGTCCCCTCTCCGTGTGAACCAGGTGAGAGGCCTACATGAGCCAGCTCCCCTTGGAAAGACCTCTCACTAAGGCTCAAGTCAGGCCACACAGCTGACAGCCTTCCACACTGAGTCACTTCAGAGCCAGGGTTTCTTGTCAGGCAAAGCATAGGATCACCCAGCAACTGAGAAGCCAGCTCAAGGTGCAGTGCCAAAAGTCCTGGGCACCCAGCCGCGTGGACATGGCGCCCAGAAGCATTGCCGGAGGTGTGGAGTTAGAGCTATTCTAGAGAAGCAGCAGGAGCGACATGGGCAGTGCAGTCCCCTCCAGCCAGAAGTCCCAGCCGTCACAGGAGACAAGTCGTTCCTGGTGCTCCAGGGTCAAGGCTGAGAGGGGTCCTTCCATCGGGTGGGTGGGTCCTCAGCAGTAACTTTCCTCCATGAACTTGGGCAGCAAGGGGGTCCTCAAAGAAGCTCCACAGTGGGACTGGAAAGAACCACGTGACGGGGGCATGTATCAGCTTATATCCCAGCAAATATGTAGACCTGTACTGAGGCGTACTCTCCCCATCCCAAGACCAAGCATTCTGAGCCACCTCCAGACTATCTTACTTGTTTCATATCAAAATAAATGGACAATACCCCGGGTGGTTCCCTCTCTCCCTCCCCAACAAGCCACATGTTCACGTTTCGTTCACACGAAACACTGCCCAGGGGCCCTTTCTAGGCCCCTCCCTGCATACATCACAGTCCTAGCATGTACATTTTTATAACAATGCCCACCTGAAACACACTCACACAAGCACACACACAAGTGTGGGGAGAACTATCTAAGTGTCCTTTTTGCCTTGATCTAGAAATACCAGAGAGACTGACAAGACAGAGAGTCCCGAGAGCTGGTGATTCTAGTCTTACAAATATGCCATTGAGCCCCTGGGAACCCCAGTCTCCTAGTCCATGTCAGGAGGGAGAACCCTACAGGTGTTCCACCACTACATGTCCAGGGACGCCATGACTCACTAGGGTTAACTTAGTACTCGGGCTATATTGTTTTCTGTTCCTTTGAGGGAAAGGGAAGAGGCAACTTATTTTCTAAAAGAAGAGGTGTGAGGTGAGTCATAGTTCTCAATTGTTATGAAGTTTTGGAGCAGAAAAGGAAAATAAAATATCTTATCTCTTATCATAACACTAGCAATCTTTCCTAGGTGTGTCCAATCTTCATGGCTGTTCTAAGGATCAATGAAGTTACTATATGCATACATATTTTTTTCTTTTTTTGAGGCAGAGCTTCACTTTGACACCCTCAGTAGAGTGCTGTGGCATCATAGCTCACAGCAACCTTACACTCTTGGGCTCAAATGATCCTCTTGCTCAGCCTCCCAAGTAGCTGGGACTACAGGTGCCTGCCACAATGCCTGGCTATTTTTAGAGATGGGGTCTCACTCTTGCTCAGGCTGATCTTGAACTCATGAGCTCAAGCTATCCACCTGCCTCAGCCTCCCAGAGTGCTAGGATTACAGGCATGAGCCACCACACCCAGCCAAGTTAATACATATATTTCAGAAACACTTTGAAAGGTACAAGTTGGAATGCAAACATAAAGACTGAAAATTGTCATGATAGCAGAAAATGCTATGAGCCTACTCTAGACTAAGGCCCTTAATTAGACGGGCAGTTCACAGACCCCATGAGTCCTGTGATCATGGAGCTTGTGGTCATGCTAATGCTCCTTGACAAGAGACAGAGCAGCTGGGGTGCAGCCCAGCCTCAGAGCTGGCAGACAGCTAATCACAGGGGACCCCAGAGCATGGGCACAGCTGCTAGATTAATTACTACCCAGCCCCAGGTGAGGTGGTTCATCTGAGCCAGCAGGAGCTCTGTGCTCGGGAGCACAGGCTTTAAAGTAGACGGACCCACTTCACATGTCCCTCTGCCATCACTGCAGGACCTGAAGGGAGTGACTTAATCTCCTGGAGCCTAGTTCTCACCTATACACAGAGATAAAAATACCTGGGGTTGATGGTGGACTTGAATGATTATGTAAGTGGCTGGAGGCAGTTTAGGCCTGTGCTCAGGGTTCAGTGCTCAGTGCTCAGCGGCAGTATCATAGCTAGTTCCCCAGCTAGGGCAAGGGATGCAGGCAGAAATAAGCAGAGAGCTGATCTCTTTCCTCTCCAGCAGGTGCTCAGGCTCAGAGGGCGAGATGGGCCTTCCTCAGCCTGGAGAATGGGATTCCAGCATGGGCCATGGGATGTGGAAACATGAAAACCCCTCTGTCTGACTTGACCCATGGATGTGAAAATCCCTATTGCTCAAAAAAGGGGGAGAATTGGGTGGCACCTGTGGCTCAGTGAGTAGGGCACTGGCCCCACATCCCAAGGGTGGTGGGTTCGAACCCAGCCCCAGCCAAACTGCAACAAAAAAATAGCTGGGTGTTGTGGCAGGTGCCTGTAATTTCGGCTACTCTGGAGGCTGAGGCAAGAGAATCCCCTAAGTCAGCTGTGATACCACAGCACTCTACTGAGGGCAACAAAATAAGACTCTGTCTCTAAAAAAAAAAAGAGGGAGAATTAGGCCCACTAATGTCCATTCACACCAACCTGAGTTCCAGAAAGCCTAAAAAAAAGGAAATATACTTTGTGCCTCTCCTTTTCCTTCTACCATACTCCCTACAGTGACCTGGTGTCCAGATGGAAGCTAGAAACCCTGGTCTAGCTTCTGGTCACCACAGAGGTGTCAATCAAAGACAGCAGGGCATGGGCCCCTGCAGGGATATAGTTACTGAGAAGACCTCATGCCAGAAGGGCCACATGCAATGAACACCTCCAGGGAGAAGCAGAAGGACATTACTACCCTCCAATGTCCTGTCTAGGACATTTTACTCATTTGTCCATGCCCTCCTAGCAGAAAGTCAGCATCCTCAAGGAAGGGGTTTTAATCTGCTTTTTTCATGCTGCATGCCAAGCACCCAGATCCATCGGAGCATGTGCTGGGCAATCAGTCAATTTGTGCTGAGTGGAACAAACGAGAAAGTCCTGGTTACCTGGTTTCATTTTTCATCCTCCAGCCATCCCGACACTTGTGAAACCAGAGCTCTTGGCCAGCGGATATGCTGGTGTTCTCAGGGTCTTCTACACAAAACGTCAATCTAGGAGGGAAAAGAAACCACAGGTTCAGCTATGCTCTTCAAGAGGGATTTCAGCCTGTGCTTTCTGGACTAAAGGCAAATGGCATAGGACTGGTGGGAGTTTTCATTATGTCACACCCTGACTTAAGGGCCTTCAGAACTCCTGTCACTACTACCAGGACACTAAGCTGTGTCTCACTTTGAAAGCTTCCATGATGTGGCCTCTTGCAGCCTCAGACACATTTCTCTCACCTTCTTCCCTATCTAAAGGGCCATGGAAACCCCCCCCGACTGTCCCCCTGACTGTCCAAGCCCTCTTTAACCTAACCCTCCCTTGACCTCTCAACTTCAGAAAAAGTTATATAAATGGGGGTTTTGTTAGTATTGTTCATTACTTCTTATGGCACAGAGTTAAAAATGAATGTTTTATTTTACTGTAAAATGTGATACCCTGCTTGGAATTGCTTGTGGATTTCCTATATTGACTTCTCCACTAGACTGTGAGCTCCTTGAAGGAAGGAATTTAAGACACCTCCAGTCTGATGCTCTATAAACATCTATTGACACGAGCAACTGGAACTTAGTGGCAAGTCAAAATCAGATTCAGCAAATAGACAGCCAGGATCGTAAGAGGGAATCAGGGATGCAGTACCTATTTCCCTAGAACTTACAGATGCAGCCTCGGTGTGTGTGACTAGCATAGCTGAAGGATAAAAGCCACATTCAGAACAGCTGAAGAACTTTTCCCAAAAAGCCCTAAGAACCTTAGGACCTACATGTTTATAAACGCATGAAAAGATTACCTCGCTCATTCACAATCAGGAAATGCAAATTAAAACAAAAGTAGAGGACTTACCCACACCTCACAGGAAGACAAGAATGCCCCCCCAAATGTTGGTGGGGAGGCAGGGACAAGGAATTCTTACTGGATAGCTAACATTAAAAATTGATTCGACTATTTTGGCGAGGGATTTAATAATAGTGGGGTAGGCTGGAGAATGCATATACTATACCCCAGCAATTCCACTTTTTTTTTTGAGACAGAGTTTCACTATGTTGCCCTCAGTAGAGTGCTGTGGCATCACAGTTCACAGCAACCTCAAACTCTTGAGCTTAAACGATTCTCTTGCCTCAGCCTCCCAAGTAGCTGGGACTTACAGGTACCCTCTACAATGTCCAGCTATTTTTTCCTTGCAGTTGTCATTGTTTAGCTGGCCTGGGCTGGGTTCAAACTCCCCAGCCTGGGTGTATGTGGCTGGCTCTGTAACCACTGTGCTACAGCCGCCAAGCTGAGCCGAGCAATTCCACTTTTTAGTACACATGTCAAAAAGAGGCCCTCCTACCTACACATGCTGCAAGGAAAACGTACAAGGATGTTCATCTCAGCACTATTAGCAACTACAAAAAAGTAGCAACAACTAAAATATTCAGCAGAACGATGGTTGGAAACTACTGTTTGTACAATGCAATGCAATTTAGACACAGGAGTTAAAGGTGAATAGACATATAACTATGTTTGAATGAAAAAAACACAACTTGTAAAATAATATGTCCACTCATGTAAAATTCAGAAGCATCCCAAACAATTCTCTTGTGTATGGTGACAAATAGAAGGACTAAGGGTTTTTAAAACGTGAGAGAAGAATTTATACTAACGTCAGTTAGTTAATGTTGAAATATTAGATTTGTTTTGAAAGAAAGGAATAGGGCAGGGGAGGGCAAAAAGAGGGTCCAACTACATCTACAATGTTTCACTTTTTAAAGATCTTATATCTGAAACCAATATGGAGAACTGTTTACATTTGTTAAGTCTCAGCCATGTTGATTTTATTTGAAATATTATGTAAAAAAAGATCATCTTTCAGCTGTCACACCCACAAGCCTTTGCACTTACAAGAGCCCAGAGAAGTAAAAAGATAAGCAATTATCTAGATGACAAGTTGGCACCCCTATCTCAGTTTTCTAGACCAGAGTCCCTCAGCCAAGGGCCCCAGGTCTCCTCTTCCTTCTGCTGCCAAGCTGGGCCGTAGATGGTGAGTGTAAACAAGACATGTGGAGAATTGTAATGGAGAAAATGCCAGACAAGGGACAAAGCGAGAGGAAGCGGCTTCCTCCCAGGCCCAGGCTGGCAGTACCCTTTCCAGCAGTCGGCTGAAGGACTTATACAGCAAGCATCCTCCCTCGACAAAGGTCTCCCAGGCTTCTCTGGCTTTGAGCCCTCGCTGGCTTCTATTTAGAAAGAAGCCTGCTCACAGAGTCCCAGCACGGAGTTTGGGGCTGATACAAAGGTCTGGAATGGATGCTTCATGCTAGGCTTGGGGTAAAAGAAATGGGGACGCTGCCAGCTGGCATGGCACAGAGGACGCTCTGTTTCTTGAAGGCAGGACCCCAGCCCCATATTCTTGTCTCAGAGCCTCTGAAGAAGAGCTAAAATAATGCTCTTAAAATAGGATACCAGGGAAAACCAGCTCCTCCTACAGACCTCGGCCACGGGGCTCCCTGGGCAGGATGCTCCTATTTGCCCTGCATGGAGGCAAGCAAAGCCTTTGGCTGCATGGACCCCACAGTACACAGACCAGCAAGGCAGCAGGCCTAAAGAGCCCCATCCAGGAGAAGCTTCCCCTCCTCTGGACCAACACAAGTTTGGCAGACAGAACAAGGCTGAATTCCAGCCTCCATTTGCCCTCCCCTCTGAGCCAAGGGCCCACGACCAGGGCATAAGATGTGCAATGGTTGGCAGAAGCCTTGATCTGAGAGTCACTTCTCCTGCTCTGGGGTTTGGCCTGTGTGCTCTGGCTGGGGTGTGACCAAGGGTGGATACCTAGCCAAGGAGAGGATGCCTCAGAGGCACAGCTCTCAGCCCAGTCACAGGGGCAGAAGGGCCGGGGCACTCACTTGCGCTGGGTTTCCCCAGACTTCACCCGGATGCGCCTGATATTCAGCTCCCTCATCGGGTTGCGGGGTTGAGACAGGTAGCTGCGAAGCTCCTTCCACAGGTTGTACCAAGATTGAGCTGCTCCCTCCCAGGTGAGTTTGATCTTCAAGAGATCTCCCAAGTCCTCCTCAGTGTAGACCAGGAAGGTGTTGGTGGCATTCAGCCCTATCCGCTCCACCCTGCAAGGCAAGAGAGAAGCTGATCTCGTGCTCCCGCCACCTGAAAAACTGCCACACTGTGCAGGCGACAGCATCTGTGCCACACTGACTAGAGACACAGGTGTGAGGTCCCCCCATACTGCTGGCCTCCATGTCCCACTAGCAGGACAGAAGTGGAAGCTCAGAGGTGCTCCATATAACATGAGAGATAAGTTTACCCACAGAACCCCAACTTTTTATCAAAACCTTTCCCAAGCATCTCCCTATGTATGCTACTTTTGGGGAGACAGGACCAAGAAGGAGCAGAAATAAGGAAACTCAGGCCAGGTGTGGTGGTTCACACCTATAATCCTAGAACTCTGGGAGGCTGAGGCAGGTGGATTGCTTGAGGTCAGGAGTTCAAGACCAGGCTGAGCCTGTTTCTACTAAAAGTAGAAAAACTAGCTGGGCATAGAGGTGGGCACCTGTAGTCCCAGCTACTCAGGAGGCTAAGGCAAGTCCAGGAGTTTGAGGTTGCTGTGAGCTATCATGCCACATTTTACCCAGGGTGACTGAGTGAGACTCTAACTTAAAAAAAAGTAAAAAGAAATGAGGAAACACAAGGATGTCCCATCCACACCCAATAGTATGCTCTTCCTGTCAACCCATGGGTGTCTGTCTCCCTCCAAACTCGAAGCTGCCTCCTGCCTGTCCCTCACATGTGGCTTTTGGTATGGCCTGCCTTGACCCCTTTGCATGTGTGTTTGTGTGTGTATACAAGCTTGTTGTCCCAGCTAGACCCCGAGCCCTGAGATGTTAATTATTTAATGACGTTTCTTCACATCCCAACATCACTTGCCATGGCACCTTGTCCCTGGTGGGCACTCAACAAAGACAAACAGATTGCTATATCCCCCTCCCACAGGCAGCTCATCAGGAGAGGTCCAGAGATGACATTTATGAAGTTCCAGACTGCTGAAAGCTTTAGGTGTCAGGCGTTGCCTGGAATGAAACAGCAGTTCTTCTCACGCTGCTGAGTCATCCTGGGAGCTTCCTTCCCAGAAACACTGAGTCAAGGGCTTGATGGAAAAGGCACCGCCAGAGAGAGAACTGCAAAGGCCAGTGGACCACCCAGCTCCTCCCCCCAAGCAAGTCAGACCACACTGCCCTGCACCCTGATCTTGTTTCAAAGTTCCCCTGCCCTCTCTCATTCTCAAACCAACTAGTTCTCTGTCCTGAACCGAGCCAAGGAAACTTGTGACTTACATTTCCAGAGGCAGAATCTGGGAGTCTGCATTAGTGCCATAAAGGGTAACATAAAAGGTGGGCTCAATTTCTCCCATATTCTTGTAACTGAAGACGTGGATTTTCATCTGATAATGGTAAACTGTGGAGATAGCAGAAAAAAGATATTTGTGAGCCAAGCCTCATGGCTGGTCCCAAGCACCAAGATCCATAGCCGCCACATGCCAGGTGATGGGTCTTGCTTGTCATGGCAGGGCACCCCTGACCCTAATGGAATCACCCAACACACTGAGTTCTAGGGATCAAGGTCCTTTTGGTTGAGTCCATTCTCCAGCCTCCCTCTAGTCCAATGGCATAAGAGGCCACTGCAGTATAGAAGAAAGACCCCTGAACTGAACTTGGGAGTCAGGAGATCTTTTGGAGATTTTGGCCTGGCTATGTACTAGCTATATGACCTTGGATTAAGAATCAAATTATTAACCTCTGGGCCTCAATCTCCTCATATGAAATACCTACAATATCTGCAAATCCTATGTTTTTATAACATGTTATTAAAATGGTAAGGTATTAGCCCAGTGTGGTGGCACACACCTGTGGTACACACACTCTCGGAGGTCAAGGTGGGTGCACTACTTGAACTCAGGCATTCAAGACCAGCCTGAGCAAGAGTGAGACCTCCGTCTCTACTAAAAATAGAAAAAACTAGCCGGGAGTTCTGGCAAGTGCCTGAAATCCCAGTTACTGAAATTCCAGTTACTTGGGAGGCTGAGGCAAGAGGATCAGTTGAGCCCTAGAGTTTGTGAGCTATGAGTGCCATGGCACTCAACCTAGGACAATAGAGTGAGACTCTGTCTCAAAATAACAATAATAGTAATAATATTAAGATATTACTTTCCTATTCAACTTATCTCAGATTTGTTATGATAATAAAATGAGAAAACAAATATGAAATCACTTTGAAAGTTAAATGCAAGAAGGAAATTTAAGACATTAATATTGGGATCCTGGACTGATAGTCACATCACAGGAGTCCCCACCATTTACTTTCTTAAAGATTAGCTCTCCTAGGACATGCACATAGGAATCTGCTTTGCAATGATTTGCTTCAATTGTGCTGGCCACATCTCCTAAGCTGGAACGTCCCCTGTTCTGCAGCATGGTATTAAGAGGGAGGTATCAAGGGCCTTCCTGGGGGCCACTTGGGGGACTGAAGGTTACCTCTGAAAGGCATGCCTGCCCGAGTTTTTAGGTACATCTTGCTGTTCCTCTTGTTCCTCATTTTCTTGGCATTGTAGCCAATGCTATTACAGCGGTTCTTCCGGCAGCTGAGACAGATGCCCTTTTTGAAGCGGTTGGAGTCTGTGCACTGGAAGGCAAAGCTGGGCTTGTCCTGATTCACCAGGGAGTCCACGAAGAGGTGTACGGCCCGCTCATGCTCACATTTCATCACCTCTGTGATTGCTGGGGACAGGAGAGATAGAAAACATGCGGGGTCAGCCTTTTTTTTTTTTTTTTTTTGAGATGGAGTCTAACTGTTGCCCTCAGTAGAGTGCCATGGTGTCACAGCTCACAGCAAGCTTGAACTCTTGGGCTCAAGCGATTCTCTTGCCTCAGCCTCCCAAGGGATGGGACTACACAATGCCTGGCTATTTTTAGAGATAAGGTCTTGCTGTGGCTCAGGCTGGTCTGGAACCCATAAGCTCAGGCAATCTACCCACCTCAGCCTCCCAGAGTGCTAGGATTACAGGCGTGAGCCACCGTGACTGGCCTTGTTTGTGTAATTCTTAATTCACGTTCAGTGATGTGCTGGGCTCCTATTAGGATGTAGAAGAATTTAAGGGCATTTCTGCTGCCTAAGTATTCCCACTCTTGGTGAGAAGACAGCAACGACACACACAAAGCAAAAAAGGGCGAGAGACTGTATATGATAAGCACCAAACAGGGTGACGCAGACCAGCTGTGCAGTAAGACTCACTAACTCCTAATAAAGTTATATAGTCACAAATGCTAGACATCATCTATTCTTGAGCTCAGCAAAATACGGTTTGTAGGCTGGCTACCTTTTGTTTTGTTTTTGTTTTTTTAGAGAGAGGGTCTGGCCGTGTTGCCTAGGCCAGCCTCAAACTCTTGGACTCAAGTGAACCTCTCTCCTCCATCTCCCAAGTGGCTGAGACTACAGGCATGTGCCACCATGCTTGGTTGGCTACTTGTTTTTAAAAATTAAGTTGTATTGGAACATAGTTACACTCGTGTGTTTAGGTATTGTCAGTGGCTGCTTTTATGCTACAGCAGCAGGGTGGAATGGTTGAAACAGAGGCTATTTGGCCTGCAAAGCCTGAAATAGTTACTAGCTGACTCTTTAAGAAGATGCTTACCAACGTCATTCTAGTCCAATCCCTTCAATTATAAGCTATGACCCAAAGGCCCACAGAGGTGAGCTAACTTGCTCAGGGTCACAGTTAGTTGCAAAGTTAGGAGTTTAATTGGGATTTTCTGGCTACACTATTATTTCTTATAACCAGAAGCTAAAGCAAATAATTTAAGTAACTCTTGGAACCTTAAGAAAAAATTGGCAAATCCACCCCTAACTCTGCCTCACTGGCACCACCAGCCTTAAGAAATCCCATCATGCCAGACATGGTGGCTCATACCTGTAATCCCAGCACTTTGGAAGGCCAAGGTGGGTATATTGCTTGAGCTCACGAGTTTGAGACCAACCTGAGCAAGAGCAAGCTCCCATCTCTACTAAAAATAGAAAAAGAACTAGCTGGGCATAGTGCCACGCCTATAGTCTCAGATACCTGGGAGGCTGAGGCAAAAAGATTACTCAAGACCAAGACTTTGAGGTTGCTGTGAGCTATGATGACACCATGGCACTCCACCCAGGATGACAGAGTGAGACTCTCTCTTAAAAAAAAGAAAAGAAAAGAAATGTCGTCATCGTGGAGCCTAAGACAGGGCTACTTGGATATTAACCATATTGGGAAGGGGAAGAATGAGTGACAGAGTAGAATATCCAGAGGGCAGAGCTTCAGTGGAAAGAGCTAACTGGGGCCAAGATAGGAAATCCTGCCAGCGTTCAAGGCAATAAGAGGATGGGAAACCCCGAAAGAGATTGTCAATGGTCACGTCTGTTTCAGCAGCGAATTTAGTTCTGCCTACGTCTGTTAAGAATAGACTCAGTTGTTCAGAAGATAAATTTTAAGTGAATAGAGAAAGCCTCTTAGTTTTACTACTTTAAATGTTACCAAAAATTAAAATATAGTATATCCATGCTATTGAATATTATACAGTCTTAAAAATATATATATGGTTAGCAAATATATATGCTTTCATGTTTAGGCCTCCAGACTAGGCCAGACATGGTAGCACATGCCTGTAATCCGAGCACTCTGGGAGGCTGACGCAGGTGAATCACTTGGACTCAGGAGTTCAAAACCAGCCTGAGCAAGAGTGAGACCCTGTTTCTACTAAAAACAGAAAAACTAGCCAGGTGTCATGGTGGGTGCCTATAGTCCCAGCTACTCAGGACAACGAAGCAGGAGGATCACTTAACCCCAAGAGTTTGAGGTTGCTGTGAGCTATGATGCCACAGCAATAATAAATAAATAAATAAATAAATGAAAAAAAAGAAAATTTTAAAAAGTAGCCAGGTGTTATGGTGGGTGCCTATAGTTCCAGCTACTTGGGAGGCTGAGGCAAGAGAATCACTTAAGCCCAAGAATATGAGGTTGTTATGAGCTATGATGCAACAGCACTCTACCGAGGGCAACATAATGAGACTCTGTCTCAAAAAATAAATAAAATTAAAAAAAAAAGAAAGAAAAAAGCCTAGGGCAGTGCCTGTGACTCAAAGGAGTAGGGCGCTGGCCCCAAATACTGGAAATGGTGGGTTCAAACCCAGCACCAGCCAAAAATGGCAAAAAAGAAAAAAGCCTGGAAGGATACACACAAAAAGTTCATACTGGCTATGTCTAAAGAGTAGAAGCAGCATGACAGTGGGAGTTTGGGGGGAATTTTACTTTTTGCTTTGTGTAAGTCTATGTAGTTTGATTTTTTCCCCCCAGCAAACATATAAGTATTCTTTTTTTATCACAAAAGGAGATTAATCGGTGACAAATGGTGACCTTGAAGCATGAGAATACAGAGCAGGGACTCCTGAATGGCTGTTAACAGCTTGTAGGATGATGAGAAATATTAAAAGCAGTGGCAGAGGGTGAAAGGTGCTGGGAACACTAACAGCTCTGGCTGACTTGGAAGGAGGTGGGTCTCAGTTTATACTGTGTCAAACAGGAGGCAGAAAATAAGGAACTCACTTCCATATGCAATTGATCCCAAGACATCGTTGAGTCCACAGCCCGGCTGGAAGTCACCCCCATTGGGGTAGATGTCGATGTGGCCCACAGGCATCTGAATCCCAATGCTCAAGCCAAAGGAACGTGTGTAGGTGTGGAGGACGTCCACAAAGTCTGCATCATCGGGGGACAGCCTCTTATGAATGTCCACCCCTTCAAACATGGGCCCAGCAGGATCCAAACCTGTAACCAAAGGGAGGCCCAAGATGGACTATGTCAGATGCGCTAAGTCAAGGAGTCAAGATTTAAAGTTAAGTTCAAGTGTGCAGAATGTAGATACCTTCTGAGCCCCGACCTGTGAATCAAGACACGGAAGGCATGACAGAAGCTAAGGGACCCACTGTGGAAATCAAATCCTACTGTTGCAAAACGTTCACTTTCTTCTGAAGCCTTCGCTGTGCTGACACCTCGGGTGACCCAGTAACTACCTATGAGGTTCACCACCACACGTCTCTGAGGATCCATGTTGACCAGGCGTCCTTAAACTACGGCCCACAGGCCACATGCAGCCCACCGAGGACATTTATCCAGCCCGCCAGGTGTTTTTGCCACCACTGCCTGTCCTGCTTAGCAGCCGAGTCATCCTGGGGCTTGCAGTCCGGCCCTCCAACGGTCTGAGGGACAGTGAAGTGGCCCCCTGTTTAAAAAGTTTGAGGACCCCTGATGTAGACTGTTAGTCCTAGAGCAGTTCTAGAAAGAACTCAGGCTGCCTGAAACCAAGCCCCTTTTCCCATTCGTTCTTCCCCTAGGAGCCCCCCACAGCCTTAATTTCAGCCAAATTGTTATATAACTAAGCTGCCTACATCCTTCTGGAAGAACTCAGGCTCCTCAAGCAGAGCTATTTGTATGTGGACTTACTGTTCCCCTTCCTTTAGTTATGAGTCAGGCCCAGGGCAGAATGATGAGAGAGGAGGGAGCACCCAGTACGCAAGTATCCACACATAAAGCCCCCACAATTCCTCTGGCAGTGAGAAAACGCTTCTGCCTCCAAACTTTCTGTATTGAGCAGCAAGTAGCGCAGGTTCTCACATTTGAAACTGCACAAATAGCACTGGGGAGCTTGCTAAAAATTTAGATTCTACCACGTAGCTATAAAAAATTCTGGAAGGAAGGCCGGGCACGGTGGCTCGTGCCTGTAATCCTAGCACTCTGGGAAGCTGAAGCAGGTACTTTGCTTGAACTCAGGCATTCGAGACCAGCCTGAGCAAGAGCAAGACCCTGTCTCTAAATAACCGGGCACTGTGGTGGGAACATATAGTTCCAGCTATTGGGGAGCCTGAGGCAAGAGGATCACTTGAGCTCAGGAGTTTGAGGTTACTTTGAGCTCCAACATGACATGGCACTCTACAAAGTGAGACTCTGACTCATTAAAAAAAAAATCTGGAAGGACACATGAGCAGTTAGTTACCTGTGTGTATGTACACTGAGGGAAAGAGTGAGGACAGGGACAGAGCAGGTAGCTGCAACAGGGACAGAGACTTTTGACCATCTCTTAATTTCAGAACCACAGGTATGCAAAACCCCTCGAAGAAAAGAACTTACAAAGCATAGAATGAAGATTCCCAAGCCCCGGACCTCCTAGAGATTCTGATTAGTACGTCTGGCATGGAGCCCAGAAATAAATACTGATCCCCCAGGTCATCCAAAAAGTAGGTGGTCTGGGGACCCAAATGTTGAAAAATTTCCTGATGCTTCAGTATGGCCTATAAAATGGAAGCAGAACACCTTAGTCCACACAGTTCATATGAGACGTGAGGAGGTTAATTGCTTCTTGGTATTATTATAGCTGCTACTATCAAGCTGGAGTGGTTATGAGAACTAGATTCATCCCAAGCAGGAGGGCTCTTTGCCTCACCAACACACAGGGAGCACCTGGGGAAACAGGACACGCCGTAGAGGAAGGGCCCCTAGAATCGTAGTTCACCACTGCGAGTGACTCTGCCCCCCAGGGGGACATCTGGCAATGTCTGGAGACTTGTTTTTTATAATTATGGTGGGGAGAGCTACTAGCATCTAGTGGGGACAGGCCACAGATGTAGCTAAACACCCTACATCATACAAGACAAATCCCCAACACACACACACATAGAACAAAGCCCCAAAGTCAACAGGGCCTAGGCGGAGAAATCCTGGTCTAGAAACACTGAGGCTGGGAAATGTGACCAAGACTAGAGCCCAGAAAGGTGACATGCTCACCAGACCCCACCACAATATGACCAAGGAGCACATCAGGAGATGTGAAAGTGTAATTTGAACATAAACAAAGGCAGAGCTATTGTCTAGAATGGATGGTCAACCTGTAGAACCTGGTTGTTCCTGACCCTGGTAGAAGATGAAACTCTAAATAGTTTCCGAAAGCGGTGCAGGTAAATTTATGTACGACCAGGGCAGAAGAGGAGCCCAGGATCCTTGGGGGCTCATCCCGAGCCCCTGACCCAAAGAAAGATGGCACAAAAACAGTGTCCTCCCAGAACAGCCCATTTTAGAGTCTGCAAGGACCACAGTACTGACACAAGTGGCCTCTCCCTGCCATGTCAAGGGGCAGGGGGCATTCTGCTTTGCAACTAATACAAGGGAGACGCTCTTTGCTCGGTGTGAACAAAGGTCCCCACCAGACAGTCATCGCCATGGAAACCAGTGCGTGCTGGAGGAATGTGGGAAGCTGACAGGACTCACAGGCCGGCTGGCAGGCAGGCTACCCACCGAGTCTGAGCCAACCTGCCCTGCTCTGACTGTCACTAACACGGGGGGTGGGGGGTACAGTGGCGCAAGTTACTTTTTTAACTAGGAATGAATGGCTAACCCCTCCCCAAATGGGGAAGATGAAGATGAAGCACCCACACTTCTTCCATTTAGTCACCTACTCTCCCAAATGTGCTCCGTCCTGCAAAGTGAACACACACAGAGTCAGGAAAACCTCTGGGCTGTGGATTCTGGCCTAGCAGAGCAGAGCCTGCCCTATTTCAACAGCTACATTATCTCCCCCAGGAGAGGCAGCATGGCACCGTGGTTAGCTGCAGGCTGTGGAAGCTGACAGCCTGGGTTTGAGTTCCAGCTCTGCAACTTACACGGTGCAAGATAGGGGTCCTGTTACCTGTCACTGCATCCTGGGTTCCCCACCTGTGAAACGTGCAAGGGTGCTACGTGGCCTAGAGATAGCACAAATATGTCACACATGAAGTATGTGACATTAGCTAGCAACTATCTGCATAGTAAACACTTTTTCATATTTCTTTCTTTTATTTAAATTTATATTTCTTGAATTAATCTGTCTGCTTATTTATTTATAACTAAGGAGGCAAAGATTCAATTAGAAATACAGGGCCTCTTCCCCAGTATATCACAGACCACTCAGAAGCCTAAGAAAGTAAAACTCTAAAAAGCCCCTACTCCATACCCTTTGGCCCAAGCAAGACTGGGGAAGACTGAGATTCAGGTATCCCCTTGATAAGGACTGCCTGATGGCCTCTGACAGTGGCATCACTGCCTCAAGATCCCATGCAAACTGCAACCTCTGTCCTCTCACCAGCTGAGACCACCTGGTCCTCAGGCCCATGGGAAGTCTCCCAGCTAAGGAGAGATGAGAGGACACGGCCTCCCCCATCAAACCTGCATGATAGCATGGGTCAGGAGAGCCAAATACCCTTGGGCTGGCCAGAGGCCAGGCCCCTGCTCCACAGAGAAAGGACAGAGGGAAGGGGCTGTGCTCAGGGGCCCAAGCTCTGTGCAGGCATCCGCAGAGCACTGATTAACATTCTGCCTGGCTCCCCTGCCCACCACGGGAGAAAAGCCCTTATCCCAGCAGCTGCCACTCAAACTGGAAAAAGAACAAGAAAGTTCCCCCCACTAGCCTCATTTCAGATTTAGAAATAGGGAAAGGCAGGATGTGCAATTTGTCCTTGTTGCCAACACCACTCTGGGCCCCGGCTCTGTGTGTGCTGCAGTTTGAACCCAGCTGGCCCGGATCTGAAACACCATGCCCATCATTCAGGGGCTTAGGAAGAGGTACTCAGACAATAGGACCCAGAGTGGCTTCAGGTCAAACTGCTCTGCAGCAGCACCGGGTTATTGAACAGTCAAGGGTGGCCACACAATCCCACTCCCAGCCCCACAATCTTCAAAATAAAAATAAAGCCACTAAGCTACAGTAAACCAAATCGTTGAATCTAAAGGAATGTGCATGCATACGTGTTTGTGTGTGTGCATGTACATATTAGACTTAATCCCAGGGACAGCAATCGAGGAGGCCAATAAAACTTCACAAATGTTCTTTTAAAAAAACTACCATACAAGGCCAGGCACAGTGGCTCACATCTGTAATCCCAGCATTCTGGGAGGCCAAGGCAGGAGAATAGCTTGGACTCAGGAGTTTGAGATAGCCTGAGCAAGCTCAAGACCCTGTCTCTACCAAAAATAGAAAAAAAATAGCCAATGTGGTGTTCTGTGCCTGTAATCCCAGCTACTTGGAAGGTGAGGGCAGAGGATCACTAGAGCCTAGGAGTTTGGGGTTGCAGTGAGATATGATGATGCCACTACACTCTATTCAGGTAACAAAATAAATAAATATTTTGTCTCAAAATGAAAAAAAAAAAGCCTACATACCAACTTGTTGCTGAAACCTGAAATTCTACCTTTACTAAGTCATGCTTTAGCTAACAACTCTCTCCTACCTGAATCCTGTTTTCAAATGAAAATACTGCAGGCAAATAAATTGTTCAAATCTTTCCTTCAAGGTGACCACCTTTACTACTTTACTATCCTGGAGGTGAAGGGGAAGCTGGAGGTGATAAAAATAAAATAATGCTGGAAAAAGGATAAAAGTCCAGAGCAAGAAATTTACTGTTAATGTTAGCATAGAGGAAGCTCTGTGTATGTATTTGTAGGGCACAAAATGGGAAAGAGAACCTCTCACACTTTTCATAATCATTAAATGATTGAACCCAAACTCTCATGTTAACAGCTCACTTAAAGCTGGGCACAGTGGCTCATTCCTGAAAGCCCAGCCCTTTGGGAGGCTCAGGCAGAATCTGGCTTGAGGCCAGGCATTCAAGATCAGCCTGGACAACATAGCAAGAACTGTCACTATAAAAAAATTTTTAAAAATTAGCCAGGTGTGGTGGTGCATACCTGTACTCCCAGCTACTTGGGAGGTGAGGCGGGAGGATCACATGAGCCCAGAAATTCATGATTACAGCGAGCTATGATCAGGCCACTGCACTCCAGCCTGGGTGACAAAGTAAGTCCCTATCTCTTAAAAAATCTTACTAAGGTATCATTTTTTTAAGATGGTGGAAAACTCCATCCCAGCTGGGTGCTGACATCAGAAAGGTCTCTTTAATTACTAAGTTTAACTACTTATTCTAAATAGGTAGCTATCAATAACCATCATTAATAAATATGCTACCTTAACATTGGCAAGAGGTATTGGTAGGTGAACTAGAAATCAGAGGCAAAATTCAAACTAAAATCTTTTGGGCTTGGGTTTTTTTCTTTCTCTTCTTCTTCTTCTTCTTTTGTTTTTTTTTTTTAGAGATAGGGTCTAGCTATGTTGTCCAGGCTGGAGTGCAATGACATGGTTCACTATAAGCTCAAACTCCTGGACTCAACTGATCACCCTGTCTCAGCCTTCTCAGTAGCTCAGGCATAGATGTAGCAACTACAATCTACTCTTTATTCTTTTGTCTTGAGTCCCTAGAGCATCGTAGGTGGAGACCTAAAATGAACAGCCAAAAGCTTGCAGGCCAGGGCTCCACCCCAGCTCCTGCCCTTTAGTTGCTAGCTGTTTACCCGTGAGCAAGTTGCCTCATTTGTTTCCTCACTTGTCAGACTAACCAGGGGCTTTCAAACTGTGTTCCCTGATGCTCTGAGATCCTAAGATTTCTCCTAGGAAAAGAAGGGCCCAAATGGCAAGGCTAACACTACGACCTCTGTCTCATACATTGGAGCCCCATACAATTGGAAAAAAAAAGGTTCTAAGACTAAAAAGAACGTTTGAAAAGTTCTGGATTAGCTGTTCTCCAAGTTTTTGTCTATAGCTAGTCCTCTGTGACTCACTCAAGCTGCCTCATTTGGGAGCACTCTGATTCAGAAAAACCAGGTTGGCAGCGTAGCTGAGGAGCTGGGGGATTGCCCACTGTGGGTGGCTGGAGAGAGCTTACCTGTGATTCTGCCCACGGTTCCTTTCACGAAGTTGCCAGCGTACCCAGCCACATGCGCCCCAAGGCTATAGCCGATCAAGTGAACATTCTCCAGGGAAAAATCATCCTTCTCCTGCAGGAAATCACCAAATCATGTGAGCTGAAGAGTCTGGGCCCAAGCCCCCAGAGTCACCAGCAATTCAACAACTTAGCCACAACAGAGGAGGAAATGCAGGACCATGGGCACAGAGACTCCCTAGGGCCTCTCTGGCATTGCTGGCAAGGCACATGCATGGGCCACAGCCAGGTAAGAGCAGGCCAAAAGGACTTGGTAGCATTTCAAGTGCCAAGTACAGGGGTCAGGGTGGAGGGTGTGACCAGCGGCTGCACACCTGGCTGTTCCCTACATGTTTTCTTCCTAAGGTGGGAGGGCCAGTGCTGTGGAGGTCAAAGCCACATATGCTTTGGAGACCAAAGTGCCAGCCGCAGCACTACAGCAGATGCCCCCTGCCTGCCAGGCCCTGCCCTCCACCCTAACCCCAGGAGATACCCACCTTCCCCAACAAGCCTGGCTAGGACTCAGAATTGAAGCATCATCCCCTGACAGGGTACTCAGCTAGTGGGATTGAGGTGGTAACCCCAAGGCTTGAGAACCAACCTCTATAAAACATTCTATAAAACAAATTAGGCAGAGGTCAGAGGGATTGCTCCTGAACCCTGTCCAGAATTCATCAGATTCCACAGGTGCAAGAAAGGCCAGATTGGAATTGCCCTAATAATCAGGTCACTTTGACCATATACCCTTGCCCAGCCTATCCCCAACCAAGTTCATGATCTCAGGCAAATCATTAACCTATAAAGAGCAATGCAATAGCACAAGATGTGTTTTCCATGCTTATTATTTTAAACAAGGCATTAGGCTGCATTTTTTTTAATCAACCCCTGCCCCACCCTTAGTACAGCCATGCTTCAGAGGCAACAGCAGTCTTCAGGAGGTATTTAAGATTACAAGGCCTGGTGACGCCCGTAACTTAGTGGGTGGTACGCCGACCACATATACTGAGCCTGGTGGGTTCAAACCCTGCCTGGGCCAGCTAAACAACAATGACAACTGCAACAACAACAACAAAAAAAAAAATAGCCGGGCATTGTGGCAGGCACCTGTAGTGCCAGCTACTTGGGAGGCTAATACAAGAGAATCGCTTGAGCCCAAGAGTTTCAGATTGGGCTCGGCACCTGTGGCTCAAGTGGCTAAGGCGCCAGCCACATACACCTAA